CTATTCTGCATTTCTTGGAATCAAAGGGTGCCTAATTCTTGTTCTTCTTCTTCTTCTTCTTTTTTTTCTTCTCTCGTTTGTTAACAAAGGCAGTAAAAATTATTTGTTGCTTTGCTGCTAAAAAAGCGTTCAAGCAAAATTTTCTGTTTTCTCAAGAAAAGTTTTGGCTAAATTGTGTGTTTCGCCACACTAATTTAAGTATTTATATATATGGAGGTTCATCAACGTCTTTTCGAAAAACTCTCATCAACACCAACAGGGAGTGATTTTGCCTCGACATCAGCGTCAGGCATTGTTCCATTTTGCGCTGTCACCGCTGACTCGGTTACTGAAAATTCACTGCAATTGGTCGGTGCCTTCCTACCTTCCTCCAATGATCCCATTGAAGCTGCACAGTTTCCTCCAATACTGTGTTCCTCTGGTATTAGTCAACGTACGGCAATTGACCATCTCCAACAGCAGCAACAGCCACCTCAGTCTAGTCTTAATAACAGTAGTAATGTTACTGCAACACCAGCAACATCAACGACAGCTACGGTTACTACAAAAGCTACTCCAAACAATAACGTGTTGGATAGTTATTATCACAAATCTGTTAAGGTGCGATGCCTTTTTTTTTTTTTTTTTTAGATGTACTGTTTTCTTTTTATTGAATAACTGCAGTTTTGTTAAAACGCGGCTACTTAGTGGTCTTCTGACTAACAAATTTGTAGTTAGTTAGCCTAACTGATTAATCGGATGCTTTAAACATAACCGTTTCAATTTTATTCGTCTCAATTTTTCAGTTTATCTTAAAGTAATCATATAATTACTGTGCTGTTGTTGTATAAAAGCAGCGCATACACTGTCTACAGTATCACTGTATGCGATTTATTTAGGGTAGATAAGCAGAAAGCAAAGCTGTGAGTAGTGTTCCTACAATTCATTTCCTTAAATTACGGCAATATTTTTATGAAACAAAACTCAGACAAAGTATTGTGACAGTAATATAAACTTGTAGCCAGCATTTTGTCTTGTCTAGGAACAGCTGAAATACAGTTGGATTCCTTGTCTGGCACCTGTTAGTAGATAACCTTCAAAAAGGAAACAACTGTTTTTGGTTTTGCTTATTTAACATTTGGAACTTACCGCGACTATCTGCAAATAATCTTTGCTGTTCGTCCCACCAAAGTATGACCTAAGATTAGTTTAACTGAATACTATTAAACAACAGTATGATATGGTATTGTGAATGTTTATAGAAGTATAGCTTTACTTCTTTTTTTTTAAACCTTTTTTTTCTGTTTATTGATATTTTTTACTTAATGTGAAAAGATAAATTTAAAATGTGGAACTGTAGGACAGCTGAGTGACAATATTGACTTTCTGTGGTAGCAAAGTTGTAGCAATGATACACTTTATGTTTGTTTATAGACACCACTGCTATTATTCTTGGTGATGACCAGTCTATTTTTTTTAGTTTAGGTTAAAGCCCAATAATAGTCTTCTTAATTTTAATGTTTGGCTCTAGTTCTCGATTATTATATCAAATTGTGTTCAAAACTCGGAAATCTTCTTCCTCAATTTGAAGGATTAGTCTGAACAAGATACGATAATATTTATAAACGGTAAAGAAGAAACAACATTAAACTTGAGTATATTGAAGGCAGTTTTGATGTGACTGCAGTCTTTATTAAAGTTTTTATATTTAACGTTATTCTTTCATAGTATTAGTAAATAAAACAGAAGCAGTTGTAAATGTCTGAAATTATTGAGTTGTATAATCAAAGCAGTAATTTTTAGAAGTTTTTCAAATTTTTTTGAAAGATGTGTTCTGTTGCTTATATGGCATATATGAACGAAGTTGCAAATGCATAAATTTCAGAACGAATCTGAAATGTGTTCGTCATGCGCCGACTACATCAATGAACAGACGCTGTTAAGCGTTAATTCACAGTATTGGCATTCCAAGTGTCTTCGGTGCTCACAATGTTCCATACAACTGGAGAATCACCCGACTTGTTTCATTAAGGGCGATAGTATTTATTGTAAAAACTGTTATAATAGGCAAGTGAGAAGAACTTTAATTTTATTTTTTTCTATTTTTTTTCATTTTTTTTATTCTTCTTCTTCTTCCCTAATCAACTCTAATCTTTTGCTTATCTGTTTACCTGATCATCTTCATTTGATATTCGCATCTTTTGACTGCAGAAAAAGAAAATAATGAGTCAGAAATTTTTGATTAGTAACTTTTAGTAACAAAAAAAAGAAGATTTTTTCTTGAGTGTTGGTTTCATGGAAAAAAAGTTTGTCTACCAAAATCGATTGCTTGTTAGCGGCAGCTGCTGTTTGGGGGCTACCGTACTCATGGATAGGAAAGGGCGTAGTGACTAAGCGTCAATAACAGAATGTTAATGTTGCTGGTGATGCCCCCCTTTAGGCACCGACGGCAACCCCTTAACGCCTGCCGTCGATGTTCTGCGGAGAAGTCAGTTTTTATGTTTCCCAATCAAATTACTCATACTTTCTTCTGTTTTCTTCTTCTGATTCCTGTCTTGCCAGTAGTACTGAGAATGAAACAAAATACACTTTTATTTATTTATTCAAAAAAAAAAAATTAATCTTGAAAAAGAATGAATTTCTTTTATTGCTTTTTTATTGACTGATTTATTCTTTTCACAGTTTAAAAAGTACCTATTCAAGTACAAATTAAAACATGCTAACATTAATTATATGCTTTTTTCCTTTTTTTTAAAACACAAAATTTTATTTTGAGTAAGAAACGGCAAGAAAAAAACAACCAATTTTAAGAAAAAATAGTAAGAGAAGTTCTAGAAATAATTGAATTGTCAATGAATTAATGTAAAAACAAAAGACGACAAGTGTTAATAGCAGATTTGGATGTTGTTTATTCAGCACTATGGTATCATTAGGTCGTTTATGGTCAATTAGGCATTTAAGTGTTGGGTCTTTACACGGTTATCCATACATCTGTTTATTTTTAAATGCAGGCAAAAAAAATTACAGAAACACAAAAAACATATACAGATACGAAATTGTTAACTCAACATTTGCTACAGAAGTAATCAAGTACCATCATTACAGATTAAGTTTCCGTCTCAAGTGTTAACCCCCTGATGGTCAACAAATTTTTTGCTCCTTCAGTTGTTTGCATCGTCACTGTTGCATTCATTCACAGATTCATCAATCCATCTTTAATATTTTGTATGCTCCATCTTCTGCCTTCAAATATTTGCTTTTCGAAAAAAGAACGTCTGAACTTTCAAACATCAACAGTGCAACCCCTTGCAATTTTTTACATAAACATCTTTCAAACGAGGACTATAATTTACTATTCAGAAGATGAAAGGTTTTTTTTTGAACACAAAAAAATCTTTCCAATTCAATTAACATTTCAACAGTTCAATACCACTTACACCTAATCTTTTAATCTTAGCTTAACTAGTTATAATTAGACCGTACTAAAATAATACATAAAGACATGTTTTTAAAATCAAAATTAAGTTTTTTTTTGCCAATCGCTTATAAAAGGAAAATTTTTCTACAGTTATCAATACGGTAATAGTGAAGAATGGATGAGACAAGTGTACAGTACCCAAACCAAATAATTTGCTAATTAAGAACAATGTTAGCAAAAATTAAAATCTTTAACATAACGTTTAAGTCAAGTACAACTTTAGTGTTTATACCACGGTTTATTCCGCTTCATTTTGGAGTATTAGCGCAAAACATTAATCAATACCTCCTTTTTAACATAACATTTAAATTCTCCCTTGTTGACTTTCTCTGTACTCTCTAAGTTACGCAACCAAAAGTTAGCTTATGCTCAAGGAGCGTTTACTCTTAAAAACACCACCATTAACTCCTTTTTTAGGTGTGAATATATTAGATTACGACGGTACCCAGCTTTTTTTAGGCAGTTTGGTACAAAATGTTCTTCCTGTCAGCGTATAATTCAGCCGACAGATTGGGTTCGTCGAGCCAGAAGTTTCGTCTACCATCTCGCTTGTTTTGCCTGTGATCACTGTAAACGGCAACTTAGCACTGGCGAAGAATTCGCACTTCAAGATTGTCGACTGTTGTGTAAACAGCACTATGTTGAGCTTGTCGAGGGTGACTCCGGTGGGCTTATTCACTTAAGTCTATCACAACCGTAGAATGCCAAGAGCAATTAAAAACATCAGTCAGGACCTCACTTGCATAAGCGAATTCAAACAAAATCTATTCAATAAAAAATTGATTTTTTTTGACAGTAACCAATTAATAAGTCCGGAACTGCTAGAAGATAGTAATGTCAAAAACGCCAGCTCTTAGAGACGCGACTTCCTCTAGACTGAAACCACCTGCTGATTACAGCAGCGTTTTAGGGCAGCCAAAAACAAAAACTAAACGGGTCCGTACGACGTTTGCGGAAGAGCAGCTTGCAGTACTTCAGACTCATTTCCAAATCGACAGTAATCCAGACGGAGCCGACTTGGAAAGAATTGCAACCATGACTGGCTTAAGTAAAAGAGTGACACAAGTTTGGTTCCAGGTAACAGCACTTTACGAGACTAATAACTATGATTAGAGTAGCAATAATAATACTATTAATAATGCCATCAATACTACTGCTACTACTACTAATATTAATAATAATAATAATAATAATAATAATAATAAT